TTTAATTTTAATATTTTACTATTATTATTATTGACTAAAACAATATCCCGCTACTGTAAAACTTTGTTTGACACTGTGACAACTTTTATTTTTCTGTTGTCAAATTTAAACCACTAATCAATTTAAAATCATCATTAATAATATAGACATACATAAGTTATTAATATGGTCGTTATTTTAAACACAAAAAAAAAGAAATTTAACTGTAAAAGATTAGTTAAATTATTTTAGCGGCTCGTTTTGTTATCAATTTTTATCAATATTTTTCAATACTTTGAAAATGTTAACCTTCATTCCTTATACGAACATAAAAGTTTTTATTTCATAAAATATATGTAGACGAACAATTTTAATACATTGTAGTGTTTGAATTTTCAACAATCTATTCGTTTACTATGACTGTAATGATGTTGTTTATGGTATATGTGTGGTTTGGTGGAATTATTGAATTTACGGCGTTTTGTATAGGCAAACTGCAACGCCGGAATGTTCTAAGGTCGGTATAAGGAACGGCGCGGCGTTGTTTTTGTACACCAGTACGGAAAACGACCGTGCTATGACTTATAAAATGAATGAATAAACTGACAAGGGAAAAAAGAGGACGTACATCAGAGTTTTGCTGATTCTTATTCGAATAAAACGTTTTTTGAGTAATTTGTGTACAATTTATTTAAGTAGAAAAATCATTCGAATTATTTTTTGAAAACTATTTGAATAATTGTTTTACAATTTTTTCGAATAAAAAATTGTCTTCCTACATATAATGGTAAAGTATACTTTGTTTTACTTCCCATTGTCAATTATGTCCAATTTCTTAACCAATGGGCCATTAGTTTTTACTTATAAATAGAGAAAAGTTACATTTATAACTGCAAAACCACAGTAAATTCATCTACATACATGCATTTAAATTATTTAGCTTTACAAAATAATTTTAAAAGATCAGACAACATAACTTTCTTATTTATAAAACAAAAGTAGTTATAATAGTAGTTACATAAATTTATATGTCACTGGGCCTTGGCCTATATTGTATTATTAAAATAAAAATGAAATAAAATAAGTACAAAATAGTTACAATATATTTTAAATTATCAAAAAAAAGTCGTGCATTTAGAAATAATGAATTATACTTATCTAATCAAACATAAGTACAAATAAAGTTATAAATGTTTTTTTTAAAAAATCCTAATAAACAAGTTACAATTAATAAAAAAAGCTACAAATGTAGCATGAAAAAAAAAAGATAAATTTTTTTTTAAACAATCATAAATAAACAAGTTATACATTTATCAATACAAAATTACAATACAAATTTTATGAAATGAAGCATACAATAAATTCAAAATCATATAAAACAGTCAAAGTCTTCTTCTACCATTATAACGTCCTTTGATATTTGTCTGAACTCAACTTCCATACCAGGTTGTTTGATGGTAATTTTCTCTTCAATGTTTAATTCGTGTATTTTATCAGGTTTCTTCGGATCTTCACCTTCATCATCGCTATCAAGTGTTAAATCTACAAAATTATTTTCTTCAGAGTTAACAACGTGTATTTTTTTTACAACCGGTTCAACTGGTCTTAACAAAAATATAAATTTGATAAAAATGATTAAGTTTATAATCATAATAATTTTCATAACATTAATTCTCTCATCCTTCCTTTTGCGTGTTTGAAAAAAGGCTGGATCAAAATGTACTGGATTCTAACAAGAACATAAAAAGTTTTACATTTTATTATACTATTATGAACATTGACCAATAGTAACTAATAGAAATACTGGGCTAAGGGTTTTAAACAATTTAATAACATAGAAATATAGGACAGATATAATCATAGATTATAAAATTACCTCAATTTTGAGAAAATCAATGAATAATCTCTAACTTACATCATAAGAATTGATGTCATCTTCTTTGTGCTCGGTAATTTTCTTATTTTCAGTTTCACTTCCATCATCGCTGTCTTGGGTTAAATCAATGAAATCTCCTGCGTTAAAAAAAAAAAATTATAATTTCCTTGTTTTATAATTTTTATGTTATATTCAATTAACAAAATAGAAAAAATATATAATTATGCTTAAGTTACCGGGTTCACATACGCCCAACAATATGACACCGGCCCCTATGTCTTCGGTATTGTCATTGGCATAATTTCCAGTATCATTATCTCCAAAATTTCCATTGTCCAAAATTTGTTGGTCTTCCAAAATATCAAATGTGTCGTCGTCAAAAGTCGCATCGTCATAGTCATCCTATTCGCGGTGGCTAAGTATTGATAACCGTCCGTCGACGGCTGTTGTTATGCAATTCAACAATCGACTTTTGCTGGGAAAATTTCCCAAATTTGCCCTTTAAGGGCTCTAACCCGGCAGGGAGTGCAGCTAGAGAGACGCACGACCCCGCGTTGTAACCGCTAAGTCACGCCCTGTCTGCTGATATTAAGCGCGCCAAGATTCAATGTGTTATTTGTACAGAAAAACGACTTGTGCTTACTCACACACAAAATACTTTTCTTTCGACACTTGTGCAAAAATCAATGCATAACTTTTTGCCTTCTCCTTAGTTTGTTCTGAAGTTCTGATGGTATTATTGCCATTAGTCTATTGAACACATACACCATACTTAAAAGTTCATACATGTCAAAATTGATGCCAGAAAATGAAAATTTAACCATACATAGGCATTTTTTTGGTACTTTTCAAGCGAGAGAACACAAATAGATGGAATTGTTTTACGTTTTACATCAATTAATACAATTTTGACATAAAATCAAGAGGACAGCCCGATCGCCGGGCGATGCTCAGAGAATATGGTAGGGACGGCAGATGACGTTATGTGGTTTAAAGATTGTGATTTAAACTTAAACTGTAAACTGTTTAATCTGTCTATTAACTATTGTGCCATGTTACCTAAAATTATGATACACTGAGCTCAAATGTTAGGTTCTGGCCCATTAGCGACATCCCCCAGGTACATTATAATTAGTACAATGTTATCGGGAGAAACTACTAAAAAACGCCTATTTTTTGATAAACATTTCTGACAGGCAATTTTGACAAGTATGAACTTTTGGTTATGGTGTACGTGATCGGCTGACTTAAAGCTATAAAACCATCAACACTTCAAATCAAACCAAAGAGCAGGAAAAAAGTTATGCATTGTATTGCATAACCTAACCGACCTTCTAAACGATAAAATATCTATTAAACTTACTTTGTTGGTGAATATAATTTGGTTAAACTATTCTTATAGCGACTTATTTAATATATGTAACTAATTGCTATTATTTAAAGTCATTTACTTTTTATAAAATTGTGTTTTTTCCATAATAATTATTTTGTGTTATTTGGAACAATAAATTATTAATTGAAACTTAACAATATTGGATATTGTCTTCAACAAAACTATAGCGTTCCGAATTAGTATTCAGGTAAGTAAGTAATTGTTTTTGTGTTAATTTGTTAATTTTCTTTCTTTTTTTGACGATACATTTCCCGATCTTAGGTAACTTCTAATATATAAGATGTTATTATAAACTAATGGTATAATACTATTCTCAATTAATATTAGTGTCTATATACTTTTTTTCTACATCTCGTCACGTTCACTAATTATTATTATTATACACATTTATATGATTGTTTGTGTTCCTGCGATTAGGGTAAGTTTTTTAGGACGTACTTATTTAATTTAACTTTAAAAAAAACAGCAAAAGACTTATATTGTTGGGTTTTACAATGGTTCTCGCTAGTATTTCTTTATTGTTAAAGGACAGTTTATAAATAGTCACAGAACCTTAAGTGTACTGTTGGTAGTACTAAAAAAAATCTAGACTTGTTCATTTTTTTCAAAAGGTAAAATATGTTTTCGAATACCTATGTTTGTATATTCTTAAAGTTATTTCAAATCAAAGTCACACAGTGTTTTAATTATATCTTAGGACTAAGTAAAATATTGTCACTTTTTAGATAAAATAACATTAAAATTTTTAATAATAATTTCACCGTTTGGTCGTCAAGGCAATTTTTGTCTTGTACCTTGTAAACAACACGGTTTTCTTCGCATTTTGATCTTGACAGCCCGGATAAACACTTTGAATTATTCTAACCAACCTCTGTTAAATCAAAAAGCTTATTTCGATTATCATATCAAACTTATACTTACTTATTCTTGTTATTTACACTTTTATTGCATAATTATTTTCAGTTTTTTCTACATTTTTTATTATTTTTGTATATTTACATTCTGTATTTACTTGTAACACTTTTGTATTTTGTGTTAATTGTTTTTTTGTTTATTTCATTGTTTTTTTTATATATTTATTAAGTTTCATTCTTTTGATTTTTTATACAACGGTGACCGATTACAGGTAAGTTCTTATTTTAAGATGATGTTATAAACTAAAGATAAAATACTATTCTCAATTAGTACAATAGTGTCCACATACTTTTTTTTCTCTTCTCGTTACGTTTTTATATTTAATAATTATTTCTATGATACACATTTTTATGATATGTGTTCGTACGACTAGGTTTAGATTTTTAGGATGTACTTATTTAATAAAACTCTAACAGTCATAGAAATTTAAGTGTTCTGTTGTTAGTATAGATACTAAAAAACTGTTTTAGAAAAAAATGCATTTTTAGTTAGTAAAAAAAATTAATTTAACAACATGCGTCGGCTGTATATTGTAGCTTTCTTGATCCGACGTTTTAATAATATTTATTACTGAAGGAATTTTGAAAAAGAAAAGCTGATAATTTTATCTTACCAAAAGCAATTTAATAAACTAAATGACTAATTATTTTCACTTTTAAAACTTGTACATTTTTTTTAAAAGATAAAATATGTTTTTCAATATGTACATATAATATTCTTAGAGTTGTCTCAAATCAAAGTCACGCGACATGCGTTCGGAGCTTATTTTTTAAACACAGTATTTGAATTATATTATCATAGGACTAAGTTAGAAAATATTGTCACTTTTTAGCTAAAATGGCACCGTTAGAAAGAGATCCACCCAAATTCTTATTTGATCATATAACAGACATAAACGAAGACTTCTTGACGGACGACGAAGAAGAGTTATTTCCAGAACGCCTTATATACAAGTACTAAAGCTTGACAAAATAGTAGCTGGCTAGTCGAGTTTAACAACAGCTAGTGTTAATAATACAATTGTTTTTTTTATGTATAATTCGTTTTAGCGACATAGACACAAGAGATAGAGACACGGACGAAGAGATTGACATAAACACCGACGAGTTAAATAACTATATACCTGAAATAGTATTGGAAGTCATTAGACAATGGAGTACATACTTTAATAGTGCTGTTCCGCCACTTGTCAACAACCATGACAGAAAGACAGAGGACAGCGATGACGAGTCAATTGAGACAGACGAAACCGACGACAGAGAGACAGAAGACAACGATGACGAGTCAATTGAGACAGACGAAACCGACGATAGAGAGACAGAGGACAACGATGACACAGAGACAGAGGACAGCGATGACACAGAGACAGAGGACAACGATGACACAGAGACAGAGGACAACGATGACGAGTCAATTGAGACAGACGAAACCGACGACAGAGAGACAGAAGACAACGATGACAAGTCAATTGAGACAGATGAAACCGACGACAGAGAGACAGAGGACAACGATGACGAGTCAATTGAGACAGACGAAACCGACAAAATCCACGACGACGACGAATATTCCCGGAACTTCATGCCCACATACAGCTTCGATGCAAGGCTTGCATATTTCAAGTAAGTACGACCGCTTGGTATTACATTTTTCATATTTTGTGCACCATATAGCTTATCATGTAAATTAATGTGTACATCAAAAAAATGATTTATTTCCTTCCGGCCGGGTGATCATATTTTGTTATCATTGATGACGACTTAGATAACCTAATCCGAGAAATAGTATTAGAAAACAACTGGAATACATACTGTAATACTTTTAGCGCCATTCGCCCGCCTGTCAACGAACGCCGACCAGTTGAGTCAGACTCGGACGACCCGCAGCCGTGCTCATCATCAGGTCTGAAGAGACCGCGTTTAGACTCTGATGATGAGCAACCCAGGTCAACAAAGCGGAGACGGCCAACGTCGTACCAGTCAGAAAGCGAAGAAAGCGAGTCGGACAACTTTCAATAGTACTCCAGCCGATAAACTGTGGCCGGCAAGTCGGTGAAGCCGTTGGCGGACACGTGTGCTGTAGTAGCGCGAGATGCTGCAGCCACTGTCTCCGTCCAATCGCATCCCGAACTTGTCCGGCCGGCCTGTTGAGGAAGACGTGAAGTAGTAATCCAGACGATGGAAACGAAGGGACAACTCGGGAACGATGGTGACGGTGCAAGCCAGTAGCGCGAAATGCTGGCCCACCGTCCCATCTAACCGTATCCTGGACAGTCTGTCGAGGAAGATGTGTAGCGGTGAAGCAGACGGCAGTACTCCAGACAATGAGTGACGAGGAGACGATGGAACGACTCGGGTTGACACCGTTGTACGAGTTCTGCATAGTTATTTTTCTGTTTAATTTTACATTTATTTACATACATCAAAAAGTGTTTTATTTTAATGATAAACAAATATATATATATATAATTTTTTTTTGGAAATTTAAATACGTTTATCAGTACACTAAAAAATTGCTTACCTGCTTTGTCTCACTAAATATTATTACATTTTAATAATATTATAATATTACTCAAGTAGATTACTGAAGACACACATAACTTCTGTGTCTGAATTTAAATATTTTCAATTGAATTTTAGAACAAAATAATAATAATACATGTATTATATGTTCATTAAATATTATTATTATTCAATATATTATGTATACTGCAAATTTGGATTCTAAAATGACTTTACCACTGATGGCAGAGACGTGCTCGGTGGCAAACTATTGGGCACATTTGAACCTGGTAATCTACTTTTTGTATGCGGTGGCCGTCGGAAGACAGTTTACGTTTTTTAATTAGATAGGATTTACTGCGGTGGAACCAAAAATGATATAGGTAATTTGTTTATTTCTTTAATTGAGTAGTAGTAAAACATTGCTTTGAAACATGAAATATATAAAGCACGATAACTATAATCTTTTGAGTTTTGAGGATCCCGGGGCTGTGTGTTAATTTTTTTCTCATTTAGTAATTTATATTTTTTCTATATTAAATAAACAATTCACATGGAACACGTCTTATAAAATGATTTAAATATTTTAAAAATATTATCAAAGGTGCTTGATGCGACTTTTTCTAGGAATACTATATTATAAATCGACATAAAAAATTCTCACTCCACTCCAATAGTCACGTCCCGACATAATATTATACCTGAAATAATGAATAAATTAATAAGCATTTTTACGTCGACTTAGGCGGCACAGAAACACTGCCTATATAACTTTTTTTAAAACATTTCTAAAAAATAGTAAAAAAGTGAACTAAAAAGTAAAAAATAATTTCACTACAAGAACAATTTACCAATCAATTGTAGTACAGTTTATTTAAAATTTCAATTACTTGGAAAGCAACCGAAAATTAACTAAAATTTTAAATAATGTTGAATATCCTTCAACAAATTATATATACTAGTCAGTATATATAATATTATACGAAGATAAGAGAAAGACGGTTCATACTTGTAGTGGGTTAATTTCTAGCATAGTATGCGGGGAAAAAAAATATATATGGTTACCTACATATAGTTAATAATAAAAATCTGTGGCTTGAAGCAAGAAGGCCAAGATTTAAGGTGTTCATGTTAAAATGTACAAAATCTGCGAAAAACACAGTTTTCAGGAAATTAAAAAAAAAAACTGTACCTAGTCCAGATATTTTTCTTTGTTCAACGCATCATTGTAAACCATTTTTTGCCAAAAAAAAAATATTATTTGATCAAAGTAAAGACCGTATATTTTGTTTGTTTACAACAACAAAGTATTGCACAAAAATAGTCCACTTATGACATATGTTTCGATAAAATAGCATTATTATAATATACATCTTATATACGTGTTATTCTTCGAAAATTCACTAAGAAACCAAGTACTGTACAGCATTATAAAGCCATTTTTTCCCCCGTTCGATTCAAGTCTTTAAAGAAGAAACAATCAGTGTATAAAAAGCCAGTGCGGCATCGATTCGACCAAGTAGAATCGGATCAGAAATCCTATAGAATTGAATCTTTTTTATACGATCTTCGATGCCCGGTGGATTGTTTTTTTATCATAATTTATGATATTAAATAACATAGGCTAAATCGTGTACGCACGTCCGCGTTATCTCGGTTAGGTTCAATTACTTCATAAATAATTAACCGAAACTGGTTATCGACCAGTCAAAATTTTTAATACAATCTTTGATAATATCTTGAGTTTCACACTAAAAATATCATTCAATATTAAAATAAATTGATAACAACCATACGATTTTGAAAGGTTAATAGAAATTGTTAACAAACACATATTTTAAGTAACATATGTTATAAGGGTGGTCCATATTTTTTAACTTTCAAATTTTTGATGTAGAACCACCTCAATTTTTCATTGTTATAAGAAAGTAATTATGGTTATATATTTTGGTCAAAATTACTCAACTCCTTCATAAGACCCTGAGAGGTTGAAAAATAGCTAAAGAGGGTAGCTTTGTTGTTTTTTTTATTTTAACTAAATAAATATTGCACTTGGCGAAGAATCTTAAAAAAATCAATATAACTACATACAACACAACTAAAATTAACACCTGAAGATGACACTAAGCTATTAAATATAGTTTAAGAGTAAGTCAAGTAACAAATATATTCATAGTTGGTATTTATTATGTGCAAATTAGAAAAGAAGTTAGTAATTGTTATTAAGTAAAAAAACCTAATGAAAGTGAATACCTACTTTAATCATTAACTTGTTGAATAATATTGTTTAAAATAATTAAAAATAAAGTTAAATATACATAATATACAAATAATAAGTAAATTAAACAATTTTTTTTGACATCCGAAATAATATTTAATAAAAAAATAATTATCCAAAAATTTTAATTATCCATTGATTTTCATTAATTTATGAAGTATATTAAAAATAATAAGAACACCTAATTAAAAGCTGTTTTTAATGTCTAGAAATGTACTTGTATTACGTACTTACAAAAACTCATATCCGTTAAAAAGCCTAAAAAATAAATGTCAAATGTCGTATGCGTAAGTATTTTACAAAACTTGGTGGTCTCTTAATAATACAAACAGTAAACCGTGATAATTCTCATACATCATGAACAAAACAGCTATTACGTTATAGTTATCCATTGGCTTTGTGACGCCAAACTATTCTATCCGTTGGAGAATCACAAAAACAGTAAAAAAAATTTAATTAAAAAATGCAAAAAAAATTCTCCTTCGGCTCTTCCTAACCACAACTATGCGCCAGACGACGTTCTTCGAGTCACACACTCGTCCGACCGAGTGACCGAATGTTATTTTAAATTTGTTGACTTTATGTTATTTAAACACATAATTGTATTTTAATAAATAAATATTGATGAGTATGGACTAATAAAAATCTCAAAATCATTAGGTCGTTTAGTTATGTACATTTACTGTTAAAAATTGCACAATATTCTTCTGCTGAAACCAATCGTGACGAGAAAGAGAGAAGGGTGCCATGTGGAGTGGAAGTTTTATTTACAGACTGTGCTGATGTATAAGTGGAAAAAAAACTCCTCTTGTCCAATTAGAAATACTCATGAACCATATATTGTGTTTCGTGGCGCTCAACCGTTCCTAATTCTAACTAAACATTTATTCGGAAAACACAAAGCCATAATAAGAGATAAGAATGTTTGATAACAGATGAAGAGCCACAAGATGTAAAGTAAAAATCGACCATTCAGCCCCCACAGAGAAAGTTGTAAGTGTACTATAAAAAATGTAAAAAAAAAACCATTATATCCGTTCGGTAGACATGCCAAAAAGTGCCTTTAATAACTTTTATTTTTTTATTAAACTTTCGCCATAACTCGGATCCACAATTTCTTATTGATAATTATTGTAAAATAAACATTATAAGCAAGTTGGAACACTTGTAAGGGCTTCAAAATTAAGTTAGGTGAATATAATTTCCTTTAACGGCTTTTCGTTAACGTTTTTTCATGTTAAAGTAGTTTTTATAATTTTTTTTTTTTTTTAATGTAAATATTTCAGCTAAATTATAAAATTTATTGATCAGATTATATTGTTCTCTGCGTCAGACATTTTTTAACGGTTCGTCATTTTCGCCTAGTTGGCATTACTTTTTTAAAATTTATTTTCTGACAACTTTTAGAGCCCCGTCGAGGAGTTGTAAAAGCTTTAACAAGCAAACCATAGCTACTACTATTTTTATTTGATTAAAATAATCGATGGGCGAGCGGTGTTTAATCTTTATGCTAATTAACTTCGATAATCTTAAAAACGTAAAACTCATTAATGGAGAGTATTTTATTAACTTAATTGTGTAATTAATTATATTCAGTTTGCTAAACAAACAAAATTGTCCTCGTTATTGAAGATGCGAATTAAATATTTTAGCTCGGTTCAATTATAATATTTATGTCATCAACAAAAGTAGTTTTTACAGTATG